ATTTCATAAATCATTCTTTCAGTTTGGAACACAAAAAATATTTGTCTGTTGACAATATTAGCTAAGAAGATACAGTACAAGTCTGTTAGCAATAAAGATACAATACAAGAATGAAATAGTTGGTATACAATTGTTCTGCAAATTGAAACAAAACCAATGCATGATATTGAAAATGAACCAAAACTGCAACTCCTACTCAGACTGGGCTGGCCTCTTAAATATTTATATTGCGTTATCAACTTTCCTGTCTTTAATGAGCCAGTAGCCATATCACCCTGCAACTCACAACTGGCAACCCACTGAAGCTAAGCAGGTGTGAGCCTGGTCAATACCTGGATGTGAGACCTCACCCTGTGGTCTATGGGGGTCCAAATGCCCCAGTAAAGTGCTGGGGACACTATACTGTAAAAAGGCGCCTTCCTTCAGATGAGATATAAAACCGAGCTCCTGACTCTCTGTGATCATTAAAAATCCCAGGGCGTTTCTCAAAAAGAGTAGGGGTGTAACCCCAGTGTCTTGGCCTAATTTCCCATTAGACTTTACCAATCCTGGCCTCCTAATAATCCCCATCTATAAATTGGCTTCATTACTCTGTTCTTCTCCCCACTAATAGCGTTCCCCACTAATAGGGTGAGCGTTCTGGTGCACTATGGCTGCCGTCGCATCATCCAGGTGGGGCTGCACACTGGTGGTGGTGCATTGCCTGTAAAGCCTAGAGTGTCCAGAAAAGTGCGATACAGTATAAGTGTAAGCAATTATAATGACAAGGCAACAACTGGATTTAAGGGATGTCAAGAAACATCAGGAGGTTTGCAAGTGTCTGCTCACAAAGCATGACCATTTTACCTGGAACAAATTTGCCACAGCAAAAACAGTCTTTTCAAGAACCACTTTCGTCCAAAGAGTAAACTATCCTTCTGTGAGTTATGGGATTTATCATTTATCGCTGGCAAATGAAACACAGTGATACTGCATAGGCTTGCTGACTTGCAGCAGGAAAGTTAACACAGTAGGAGAAAAAAAACTTCCCACAAATATTGTGCAGGAAACTTGCTGATGAAACTAAGGCAAACATAAGACTCCTTATCTTCCTTTTGTGCCTATGAGGTATTGGATTTCTGTTCTCAACTGTTGCCAATTATCCATCTATCTGTTGTTGAAAGTAATATTTTTGAGAACTGGCAACACTGATACTGGAGCTCAGGCCTTGTGAAATTTATTGTCCATTGATAAATTCTTAAGTCCTCTCCAAACTCGAATCATCCAGCACCTCACTGTTTTGGATATTGGATGATTCTGTATAGCCTTGTAACCAGTTATTGGAATAATCCATCCATCCATCTTCTAACTGCTTTATCCATTACAGGGTTGTGGGGGAGCAGGAGCCAGTCCATTGTAGTGCACACACAGAAACAAACATGTACACACTCACACCAAGGCCAGTTTTCCCAGAAGCCAATGAACCCATAAGATTGTCTCTGGACTGTGGGAAGAATATGGACCACTTGGAGGAAACCCATGCACACACGAGGACAACATACAAACTCCACGCAGACAGCACCCCAGGAATTGAACCCAGTGCCCCAGTGCTGCAAGGCAGCAATGCTTATCACTGCTCCACCACGCAAATAGGAATTATTTTATCCCGAAAAAGGATAAAGACTGTCCTACATAATTTAAGTAGTCACTATACTTACTCACTATCATAGGGGATTTATGTCTCCCAAGTTTCAGTTGTCAATACCAAAGTGAATCAGGCAAGGTACTTTTTCTAAATTTTAAAGAACACGATGAATGCTGTGCAATGTAAATCTAAGTTCAGTGAAGTGGAGAAAGGGTATCCATGAATTATGTAAAAACACTGTATTAGAACTGAGAGGCTTTTAATGATTTCTGTAGTTTAAAAAAGCAGCGTTGATCAAAAATCGAGTAATAGCCCATAACCAAGTAATGAAAGATGCAAAGCATTTTATTTTTTTTCTTAAAATGTATGATATCCTTCAGGCAATTCTATCATTATGTGACAGTATGCGTTAACCTAGAAAAGGAAAATTTTGTATTGCACATATTATCTGATCAAAATGCAATTTATGTAAAATGTTTAGGCTTTAAGTAAAGGGTATCATAACATGTTCAAACATGAAAAGAAAAGTTACACAGAAAAAAACACAGGTTAAGAAAGAAGCGAAAGTGAAGTATTTTTTCTCATTACATAAGCATCATTTTCCAGATTTTGGTAAATGAAAAGATGCCGTATTGATTTAATTAGTAGCTGTTATATAGTTCAGCTGTGAAACTGAAAGTATCACTCTAATTGGACACCTTCTGTCTCTTTCAGCTATCAGTGTGGGCTCATGATTCATAAAATTGCCAGAAGGTTTATTTTCTACCATCAATTTAACATTTATAACATCTGCACTTATTACCACTGAGTCAAAATGGGTAGGAGTGGGGTGGGCTAGCTGGGTGGGAGATCATTTATTGAATTATACAACATGTTTAGTAGTAGTTTGGAAATGCTGAAATAAATCCAGAGATTTCAGTGGATGCACAAGGCTCAAGTCACTGGGGTGTATTTCAGAATCCGCTGCTGCTATATGAAAACAGTCAATCTCTAAAAACCTCAAGGTTACTGACTTGAAGGATTTTTTGCAATGCTATCATAATAAAACAATTGTTTTGCACACATGGTTCTCTTTTCTTGTCAAAACTTCCCAAAGTTTTGCAGACAATGTAATCAGCATAAATTATTTAGACAACATAAAGCAATGCAGATGTGAGTAGTGATCTGAAGAATACACTGTTGAGCTTTGGACAGAAATGCAGCATATATATCCACACTTTAATGAGTATGATTTTTAACTGATAATTCACATTAAAAAATCTATGAATCTTATTTGCATAAATTTCGTCTTTGCGTAATTTAGTCTTATAATAATCTTGAAGATTTAAAAAGTTAATCATTCATAACTTGTTTATTAATAATATATTATAAAACATAACTGATAAAGTAATGACTTTGGTACTATGTTACCAGTCTCCGTAGAGTTCTGAATGCTACATGGGGTATAATTATCAGCTCTCACACAAAAGCAGGCAGCTTCACATTTTTATTGAAAGATGTTTCAGTATTTGATGTGAGTTGAGAAAAAAAGCAATCTGGAAAATGGCGAATCCAGTGTATCTCATTTTAGAGAATATTCAGTGGGGTTTGTGTAGGCACGTCAAATAATGCATTATACTGTAGGATGCACCAGTATGCCGTCATTCTGCCATAATTTAAAATGGGTTTTCTTTTCAGGTGTACTGTATACATGATGATAGGCACATGATGTGTGTTTGTATATATTAACTAAGCATATAACACCTGTTTTAGTCATCTTGCACTACATCCCCGTGGATTTCAGTATAAAATTCCAAATGCTACTCTCCTTTAAAGGCTTGAACATTTTGGCTCCTGACTGCATCAGTGAATTGTTATCTTCCTACACACCCACACGTTCTCTGTGCTCTTTGGACTCTGGCTTCCTTCCGTTCCCAAACAAGTCCCTGAACACTGGGAGCCCCTGCTTTCTGTTCAGTTTCTCCAAAGCTGTGTAATGATCTCCCAGCCTCTACTGGATCTTGCAAGTCAGTCAGCACTTTTGAAATTCTGTCTTAAATCTCACTTTTACACTTTGGCTTTTAATTCTGTTTAGTTTATTGTAGAAAATTGTGTATATCTGTCTCTATTATTTTACTGCTACCGAAAGTTTTGAGATGATGAAAGCTACTATGATGTACAAAAAATTTTATCAATGCTATAATAACATTTGCCCTCGTATGTGTTTGACGACAGTGTCTTCAACAACCTCAGGAAAAGTTTTAGGCTACTGTTTTTAAGTCATGGCAGACGTTCAACTTCCTCGTGCCTCAATACATTCTCAACACAATCCAGAATTTAGCATCGATGCATGATCTTAAGTTTCTATTGAAATAATGTGCAGTAAAGACAAAACAAAACTTAAGTCACAAGCTTATGGGTGTGTGATGCAGAACTCTACTTGATGCAGAAGAGAACATTAGCCTAGTCCAGACAGATGACAGTGCACCCACACATTCCACTTTAAATTACAGTAAATCAGCCTTCAACAGCTTTTTTTGTCAGTTTTACAAATATAACAGTGTCACTGTAGTGTCTTTGTCTGTATGAAGTCCAAAAAGGGCCTATACTTTGCGATCAATAAAAAAGATGATTACAGCTTTACCTTGGCTTTCCTCTTGGATACACTGTTCTGCAGCACTGTGTTTAAATGCTCACCGTTGTTGATGGCACCGTATCTGCTTTTTATTTCAGCTGTCCAGTGGTCATGTTCCTTTGTGCCTGTGTGCATCTCCGTCTGTGTTTTATTATTTTTTTAACTATTTAATTTCTTCTTTCTTGGATCACCAAGAACTGCAAAAAACCTCTGACCCCAATGTTGCTTTCAACTCTTTCTCTCTCGTTTTCATTCTCTCCTCTCTCTCTATTAAATCCTAATAGGTTTGACAGTTTTATTTTCACTGCAGTAGATAAAATCATTATTGTCATATTCTTCTGCCACAGCTGTCAGTGCCCCCGCCGTATGCGGTTATTTGTGAAGGGCCCTTAAGCTGTCGTGTTTGGGATTGATGGCCATTCCCTGGCAGCTCAGTTACAGTTTCAATTCAGGCAGAAAGCAGGATGCTAGCAGGTTTATTTAGCCTCCTATCTGCATGTGTTTCTAAGTGTCCACTTACAGCTCATGTAAAGGTGATGTGTGTGTGTGTGTGTTTTAGTTAAAAAAAAGAAATATCCTTGAACCACAAATCTTAAAAAATACAGATGTCACAACTATACTGGTACTATTTTTTTTCTGACTTTCGCTCAACAGGAGCTGAGCTGGGAATAAATATCAGAGACTGATCCTATCATCTTAGCACAATAGTAACAAAGCAAGCTTAACGACCCAATGATTTGTCTTTATTGAAAGTCTGCCAATTATTATTTTTATATGTAGCGTTCAATTCTAAATCATTATACATACACTCTTTAAATAACTAGCATTAAATTACATTATTCAGTGCATTGGAAACTATCAGTAAAACTGCACAGTCAAGACAGCAACAACAATACAGGCCTTCACTGTCTACATTGAATGCAATACTAGTGTAATAGAATTAATAAATTAAGGTACATTTTACTTTAACAGTTTGAATCCCTGCACAATCTCGATGTAATTATTTATATTCATGAACTTGTACCACATTCCTGTGTAAATGAAATAGAAAGCCATTACATAATTAGAAGAGAATATATATTAACAGGAAGTGGTTGAAATATTAAGCCACTGTTGTACCGTAATGGGCAGTTATGCTACAAAATGGATTAGTAGTGGATGTGTTGATGGATTTACTGTATCCAGTACATGACTAAGCTTCTGTAGAGCTATAGCCAAGACAGAGAGACCCTAGTGAGAGCAAATTGAATGCTAATGATTGCCACCTCTCTATGCATGTGCATATGCTGTAATTTATTTTCTTAATGAATGATTTGAACACAAATTCTTGTTTATTTTTACACTATACACTGCAGCAGGGATACTTAACCCCTAGCCCTTCCAATCCAACCTATTACAGTATTTAATGTAACTAACAACTTAGTTGTTATATTGACCCTACCAATTATCAATTGCATAAATAGAGGGCTGGTAGAACACAGTATCGTTGCTGGAACTTTCATACTGTTTTGTTTCATCAGTCAAATGTATTAAGTGTACAAAGAATCCAAGTTTGAAAACCATTTCTAAGGAGGATAAAAAAGTAAAATGCTTGGGAAAGCCAGGCAAGAGGTAATTGGTCTATATCTCTGAAGAAGCAAAACAAACAATATGAACTCTGACCTGATTTGTATTTGCAGCATAAACTGCAAATTCTCAATGTAAAGTTCACACAAGTAGGAGGAAGGTCAATGCATTAAGTACAATAAAATTGACAACTCTGATCTTTCTAAATATGAGCTAATTTGATGTTTTAGGCAAGTTGTGCTGACTTAGATTGCCCTGATGTGATGAGTAGGCTAAATAGGTCTCAATCTCCATTCCTTAACAACATATTTACACCTGTGACCATAGCAGAAAATACTGAAATCCATATTTGAACCCTAGCAAGTGAATTTCAAGGAAGATCCCCAAGGAAGGTCCAATACACACAGAACACAACACTAACAATAATAGTATTTGTTTTTTTCCCTTTTGATGTGGGTTTTACTAAGACTCAAAGGCATGCTGTAAGCATATATAGCAAAATTGGCTGACCAGAATACAGTAGTTGTCTGGGTGATTGCAGCTCTATGAGACGTAGTCCCTTTTGAAATTAATGTCACCCGTTTCATTGTTTCCACATTATTAGTCATAGCCCATATCCTAAGTGTTCAGTTGCAATGAGCATAATGTGTTCATGGCCCTTGTAGGAAGTGAAAGGACAATTGACGAAGACACTTTTAAAAATAGCTTGAATAGACATTAATTTATCACTGAAGGTTATGTGATCTGTGATGTGAACATTTGACTCTATGGAGACAAATGCATACAAAGTTGTTGTTTTTTTTCTCCTGTTTCTTACATCAAACACAAATACTAAAGGGCACCTTTCTGAAACTGACAGGAATGAAAGATGCAATTTAAACTACTCCTCTGACGCTGCTTTATATTGATGTTCTGGAATTTTTTGTTTCTAGTATGAAAGCCTGGTGACGATAATGAGATGCATATCACCTCGCTCCATTGGTAAATAGTTGCAGTGATCTTATTGCTTCTAGACAAATTTATTTAACTCCTACTGATACAATGATGAGCTGTTAAACTTTTTGGAAGCAGAGGATACTGAATAACAACTAAAAATAAACCATAGCCTATTCTATTTGAAAAGGTTTAATTTATTCTTCCTTAGTCCTTTTAATTTTCTGAGAGAAAATGTTGCTCCCTCTGTTCTGCTTGTCATCTCTGTTGCTCCAACTGCTGCCACCGTACCTCCATCACAGCTTCCAGTAGCTCACTGAGCTCTCCTACAGTACAGCCCGTTTTTCCAAAGTCATTTGTGACGTTTCCCATGGGGCCAGCATGGCGGTCTATGCTCTCCCTAAGGGTGTGCACACTTGTTCCTGCTTCTGCTCCAGTAGTCCCTTTTTTCCTCCCATCTCCTGGCACATCTTGACTGGAGTGGAGGTTATCTACTCCAGCTGCCCCACCATGACTACTATACTACAGGGTTTTAGTTTAGTACCTTTGCCCTTAAAAGTACTATCCAGCACCCTCCAGAGGTCTTTGTTTTGGTCACTTTCCATCACGGCTCACTCTTTCCCCATGTAATCACCCGGGCTCAGTTCTCAGTAGATGCCAAAATAAGCCAGTCTACAATTGAAAAAGATACATAAAAGGTTTTAATTTAGTTAAATGGCAGCAGGTATACATACAACAAGAAACGAAACTGCATTCAACAGGGAAAAGAACCCCATAACAACAGGCCAGAGCACCTTCCTCCCTGGATCCCACAAGAGAACTCTCCTTTTTAATGTCCTCAACCTCAACCTTTTTAATGTGGAGGCTCAACTACTGTAACCTCCCACAATAAACATAAAAGTACCTTGCTTCCTTACACATATTTTCACCTAATAAATAAAACATCATGCCAAATACACAAAACATACATTAGTCCCACACAAAACTATATTTTAATGTGTTTTTCCTTGTTATTATTCCTAAATTGAATAATTAAAATGCAGGTGTTACTTTATAAATGGGGAGTCCAGCTCTAGAAGAGAGCACTGTCAAAATAGGCTCATGACCGTCTGGTTCAGATTTGGCTCTGACCCTGAATATGGTCTTCGCAATTAAACCAGGTGTGTAACGCCAATGAGTAGCTGCAGCCACCACTCAATTCACCATTCACCAGATCACTGTATTTTATTTCCATTTTCCCCCTTGTGATTCGTTTTCCCTCTGGCCTGCAACCATAATTCATACTACAAAAAAAAAATACTAATGTAGTTATTTTTTTCCCCTTTATTTAAGAGGCCTGCAACACACTGCAGGGCTTGGGATGGGTATATATTGTAATCACACTCATCCCTTATTTAAACGCATGTCTTATCAGCTACTATTTCTGTCAATAATTTAGTTCATGTTACAGTATTGGGTTTCACATTAAAATTGAATTGTTTGTGATCACATTAAACATATGACCAAACAATTGAAAGTCATTTTTAAAGAAAGCTATCAAATCAGAATAAGGAAAAGAAAAGTATTTGTATCAGTTCAAAGTAAACCACATTCATTAAGCCTTCTTCAACCTGAAGACCTGGAATATTATAGCAGTAACTTTATAAATGTTATATCTTTGCTATATGCCAGTCAATGTCAAGCTGACCAAGCTTCTTATTGTCTAAGAGATCCATTTAACAAAGGTTCAACTTTCATGTCACATCTTATAATGAAGGAAGGGGGGATATAATTACTCTTTCAACTAGGGCCGCTTTGGAGAAATTATATACAAAATGTACCTTCAACCCTACCTCATGCACTTTAATGTTAATCCTTTTTTTCCACAACCTCCATTCACCTGACATTACTGGAGTTCATTTAAATGTAATCTGTGGAAGCCAAAAGGCAACCTTTAATTAAAGCCTTTTTGCTTGGCTAAGCGTATATTGTGGCTTCTCCATATGAAATTAAATGAAAGTGTAATTGGCTTAATGATAACTTTTGGGTTGCGTCTACTTTATTATATTCCTACAAACATATTTTCTGTGCATGTGCTTGGTGAATTTATGGTATAAAAACTTAAATAGACAAACTGTACATATACACACATACTGTACACTTACCTGTACATTGTATGTACAGTATAGAGAGAATCTTTTGCTGTACTTATTTGGCACTTGGTTTTTCAGAGAAAGTGAGGTGAAAGGTCAAATGAAGTGCTACTGCAACCCCGACTCTATTTACAGAAACTGATTTAAAAGGGAGATCAAAAAAGGCCAAAGGGTTATGGAATGTTTTCTTTACCCTAATGAAAACTCAGAGAGACTGTGACAGGTTCAGACCAATAGAAAATGAAACAGTCTATTGTAAAAATCCTTTCTTAACAGTTGTTTTATTTGTTTTGATATATGAACCTAAAACAGCTGCCATCTAAAAGACCCTGTTTTTTTTTGTTAGCCTAAGGACAGAGATGGTCATCTCCAATCGTCAAGAGCTCGGGTCCAGCAGGTTTCTCAGGTGCTTTTCTATTAGCACCTGACGAACATCTAAAAATCAAGTTATTATCTGTCTTGCAAACAAAGTTTTTAATGAAAGTTTGGACGGGATGATAATAACCAAGTCACATTCACTTTAGCAGTCCTAGCACATATTTGGCGCTGACATTGTTTCACAAAAAAAAGTATAAAACATTTACATACATGTAGGTAAACTTCTCTTTTTGCATTTGTCTTACGCTTCCCTCTTCCACCCCATCCCCACTTTTGCAGCTGCCCCTTGACTATCTCCTTATTCGGCATGGGTTATTCTAGTTTCTTTACCCTATGGCCAGGAACCTAGCCCTCGGCCAAGAGGGTTTAGCTGAATCTCACCATTCCTAAATACTCAAATAGCCTCAATTGCATGTTACTATTCCTTGTGAGTCAAGTATTTAAGATGGGAGATGCACAGGAACCTGAGTCTCCCATGAACTGGAGTTGCCTTCTCTTGGTACATACTGTAGCATCCAATGCTTGTTTAATGTACTGTATATATGAGAGAATTGATGGTTTTCAACATACAATACATTCAAAAAAAGGAAGTGATGTCCAGCTGAAGAAATATAAGCTTCTATCCAGCATTCAAAGTCATTGCATGCAACAATACAAAAGTATGAAGTAAGGTAAATGACAAACAGGAAAAGGTCTTGTGATTTACTGTGAAATCCATTTACAGGGCAGACACGTCTTATAGCAGATGGAAAAGCACCTTTTAATAACCATCTATTCAAACTCCGTGGGCATAAACTCTTAAAATCTTGAATCAACATTTATTCAAAGTGCATGTTAATGTTTAAAAAAAGACAATAAATAGCCATTAAAGTTCATAAAAAGTGTTTCTAGTTTCTATGCCTGTATAGATGTGTAATTGTTTTCAATTTATGTGTCATTTGAAAAGGGGTTTTCTTGCTCCAGTGAGAATTAAAGCTATGCTTTCAATCTCAGATAGTCATTTCCCAACTGTTCTGCCTCATTTCCTTGATCCTTCATCAGCTAATGATTCTTTACACTGTATACAGTATGTATGAGTTATTTCTTTATTAATGTAACCAGTGTTAAACCAAATGAGATACCACGTCTCATTTACATTGATGTCATGGACTGCCAGTACTAATGTAATGAAAATACAAATATTTAAGGACACTTAACATTAGCATCTACATGAATATCCTTAATAATTTATTATACAACACAAAATCATGTGTAGCTAATTATTTTTTAAAATATTGGCTTACATTAAAAAAGACATACAGTCTGAGCCAGATACAAGAGGTTTGAAATATTTGAAGTCAACATTACAGTAACAGTTTGTGTTGGAACAGTGCACTGTGCTGGCAAGTTTTGATTTCAGAATGAGGTTCATTTTTTTTCATGGACTACAGCAACACATACTGTAGGACACACTGTCATACAACACTTGGTAAATGTAGTGGAGAGAGTCTAGATGACAGCATTCTGCTTTAAAAAGTTAAGACATACAGTATTAGATGAATGATGTGTTGTATTTATGATTACCAGCTAAAGATAATAAGAAAAAGTCACTATTTTTGGTATGCCATGAGTTACTGTATCCATAAAAGTAAATTAATTTCTAGTGATTGTCCCCGTCATTAAGCAACTCTAGATCCAAATAGCTTTCTTAAGTGTTACTTGGGAAATACTTTGCCTCTGTGAAATCCAGATTGCTTGATGTGGATATTTTACTTATTATGATGTGGACATTTTGATATATATATATTTAAAAATACCATAAGTGATACATTATCATCAATTACACGGCAGTGGAAGACATAGCAATCATACTGTTCTTCACATAAAGGAAAAAGAATATTGGAAAAATTGATATTATCACTAGACACTGGATTTGGTGGCTGTCAGGTATGTTTGCCCACTCTCTGCACATAAATAACAGATATCTGTTAAATAAAAACAGCAGCAATTACTTCTGTTATGACAATAAACTGATTAAATGTTATGTTGATTTAATCAAAGCAATTGGCTTTTCCTATTATGTCAGAAGAACTAAGCAATTAACCCTTGCCTTTCAGATTAAATGATGCACTGCATAACTTGCTTTTAATTACTATGGTAGTGCTTCTCTTAATCTTAATATTTTTTTATCTGAAAAATAGGATTTAATTTAAAAATATCAGTGGTTCCTTCTGCCTGTTTTTTTAATGTGTACATTATGGAAAATATTTTAGCTTTTAATAGTATATGTAATGGTCATGGGAAGGAAAGATCGATTCTAAACAATGAATACCACCTACAGTTATTTCAATATTGTAAGTAAATAACAATGTCATTCATTGAAAAAGAACAGTTAACTGACCTCAAAATGTTCTGTAGCAATGGTGGGTAGCTGCAATCCTTGTTTGCCAGATCCCTGCATAATTTCACAGTTAATTATCAGTTGCCACTTGTCTGATTATTATACATATTTAGTAAATAATGATTGGAAAATATCTTAATAAAAGACACTTCCTTCAAATTTAAACAAGCTTCTCACCAAAAAGCAAAAGATGTTAATAACCAGTGCAATAGTTATAGGACCTATACAGACATTTCCTTGATTTTCCAACACCATAAAACTAAAATGTTCTGAAATGTTATACAGTATATTAAAGAGCAGAATGATGGGATACTTAATGGCCACAGAGTCCTCTAATTTTGTAGTTTTCTAGTTCTAGTTTTGAATTCTCCATTGAGCTAATTATTTGAATAAGAATATTTGCATGTCTTTATCAACTGCTAACCACAACGTAGGAGCAATGAAAGGGTTCAAAAGCTTTTTACACAGAGTAAGGCTCTGGCAATACACCAGATGTTACTCAAATCTCATCTAATCTAATATCATAATATTATATTGACAGCACAGTAACGAGAATGGAAAACTTATAGAAAATCTGGCTTGAAAGTGGTAGTCATAAATTATTTTCAATAACAGTACTTCTATGCTATGCCCTTGTGGTAAATACAGAAATAATTCACTTAAAAAGCAACAGGAAAAAGAATAATCACAAAATGTTTGACTTGAAAGTGCTATAGTCATAAATTATTTTACATATCAGTATTTTTATGCTATACTGTACATTTGCAGTAACTACTAAAAAAACCCTAAAACCTAACATTTACACTCAAACATTCTGCATATGTGTTTATAGTAGAGAAAACCAGCACATTACCTAAAGTGCTTAAGAGTATGAATGGTTTGAAATGTTTAACTTTACAGTAATAAACATATCTTTATGAAATATCTGCAGCATTTGGGATTATAAATGATGCAATTATGATTTATAAAGCAACAAGAAGACAATTTTTAGTATCTGTAGGCAGATTCTGGTTCATTAGAAAAAAGAAGCTTGTTCTACTAGATGAGAAAAAATGCTTTGATATTATAATATAAACAACAAACACTTCATTTAGAAACAACTACAGTATAATGCCTCATCCTTACTCTCACATTTTACTAAAAATGGCAATTCTAGTTCCCACTGAGCCTCAACACTAATTAAACATCAAAAACAATATTAAAGAAAAAAAACTTTTCCCTGATTTAAACTTTCCTAACCGTGATCATTAAAAGGCCATTTTTCACAAGTTAGGCCCTGGTTCAAATGCTTTTTTGTTTAGCTAATTTTGACAATTTATGTAATTTTTACAGGCCAACGGATATTAATTGGGCAATACTAACTTTCCCCCTCTATCCCATTGGCTCATTCACAAGTTTTTCCTTTTCTTTGGAGACACCTGACGCTTTTAAACTGAAGAACTAGCAAACTGAGACGGTCCATAAAACTGTCACTAAACTGAACTCCATAATTTCAATAAAAGCAACCATTCCCTGATTCACCAAATGTGGTATAGTTAAATTAGTGTGATAATTATTTTTCCTTAGTCATAAACAAAGGAAAATTGGACCGCGGTACTAGCACTCAACTGAAGCGCTGGGAGAGACCTGGCATTACCATGGCAGCTGGCCCCGCCCCTTCTCACCTGTTAGTCAGCGTCGGTTGCCGTGGATACATAAGACAGGAAGCCTGTTCCGTTTGTTCTAGCTGCAGCTGCAACTGTGTTAGTTAATGCTATGCCGCGGAAAACAAGAAACGGCGGCAGAGAGGTTTCTCAGACGTCTGCATTTTATTGTGCGTGTCTTAGAACTGACATAAAATCTGGCAAAAACCTGCCAAGTCACATTAGCGCCGTAACGCATTGATTGGAAAATAAACGCAGCAGCTTCATAAACACAAACGGGCGCTGGTGTGCCGACATAAACACTTAAATGTTTGTTGTGACAGTTGTCGGGGGGATCTGTTAATTTATACTGTAATACCGCCGGGTCGTACCTGAGTAAAGCAGTAGTCCGTGTGTCGTGAAGTGAACCCAGGTGTAAGCAGGGGTACAGGCAAACATGGCCCAGCGCTGTAGACGGGGACAAAACAAAGTTCGAAACCGGGTAGACAGTGTAGGGAAGCATCGAGGGAGTCCAAATTCAACTGTTCAAGAGAACCGCCGCGAAAGGGATGCAAAGCTAGAGACTGAGCTGTGGCTCTGCGCAAAAACTTTTAACAGAGCCCAGAGCAGTCTCGCAACACACTTTAAGTAATGTGTTCCTAGCTATGCAGCTGTAGCTACAGCTGGAACAGACTTCCTGTCTCACATGCATCCATGGCAACGACGAAGAATGACACGCCAGTAGGGGCGTGGCAAGTTGTCGTGGTAACACTGGCTCGCTCTGCAGGGCTCCAGCGGAAAAGAGTACGATAAAGACATTAATTTAATTGCTACACTTCGTTTACATTTTTTTTAGTACACTGTAACTTAAAACTAAATTTAAAGCTTATTTCAACATGTCACTATTCATCATTTGACAATGACAGTCAGAAAAAACTATTAACTAAATAACCAGCAGCCTTGTCACCCTGCAACTCACAACTGAAACTAAGCAGGCGGGAGCTTGGTCAGTACCTGGATGGGAAAGCATTATTAAACAGTAAGCCACAAGAAAAAAGGAAACCACCAATATAAGACACTATATTGGTTTAATCAATGTTGCTGCTCTTGAATCCTCAGAGAAGAAAAAAAAACTTATTTCAACATACCCTCAATCAGACACAAGCACCAATTAAAAACAAAAGAACTCGGGGAGCTTGTACTGGCTTATCTAGTAAAGGCCTACAAAATATTTACAATACAGAGTATGTCCTGCAGTTAGTTCAAATCCAGGCTGTGCCACAAGCCACTTATGGCTGAGAATTCTCACTTACACTACAAAAAATATCTGAATACTGATGTCAGAGAGTGAGGGTGAATCATTTCACAAATCCTTGACTGGCTGTGCTAAAAAAGCAGGCAACCAGGCACCTACGAGCCATGTTTATGCCCAACTTATTTTCTTCAGGAGGGGCTTGACAGAAATGTTCCCCCCAAAAGACAAGGATGACTCATTTGTCACTTAAATACCTCTATTAGACAACCAACTACACAACATCTCTTACTCAGCCTGAGCTTTATGCCTTGTGTTTATCACTTACCTCATGTCCTCTGGCACCAATAAATAGTGGCAACACTTCCAATTTCAAAGGACAAGCCTAACAAGTCAGTGAATTTTAACTGATTGGCACAGTGCTCATGAAAATATGTTTAAATACAACATATCTCAAAAGCAAAAGCTATCCTGCTTCTATGCCCAACTAAATATAAATACATGTAGTAAAACACTTTCCCAGCAATTTTGAATTTGTATTTGTCCTTCCACTCCATTAGTGCCCGAGACAATTCATGGCTCATTCTCCTTCTTGGTGGATGAAGGGGGTGGGTGGGGTTTTCCACTGTCCTTTGTCGTCATGACCACTTATTGTTCCTGCACCCAAGTGGGTTAAACTCAAATCTGGATCTGAAATGGATTGTGCACTAAACCACCTCATATTAGGGTGAGCCAAAGCTATTGAACATACTGTATATTTACTGCTGTTGTGCTTTAGGAATGTTTGGAGGATAATGAATTGGTAGAGATCCACAGCTGTGCTGCCAGGGTTTTATTTGAAAAGGGCTTTGCTGTGTCCAAGTATTATCCTGCTTGAATGCAAGGTTATTGAATGCAATGCTTGCTAAAATCAGTGCCCTTTTAGCTCTGTCAAAGAGACGTACTCAAAGAGATGAAACTATCTGTCAGATAATCCTTCAAACCACAAAAACAAGTGAGACCCACATTTTGTAGATGGATGAATTAGGGGGGATAAAGAAATATACATGTCCCTTGCTGAAGTATAAAAAGCAAACTAAAAAGAATGAGCATGTTTGTACTTGTACTTACTGTATAAATGATTATTTTGAGAAAATACTTAATTTGATTAAGATCCTTACATTAACAATATTAAAAACCTTTAGAACTAATCAAACAATGCTCTTAGAATTTATTTCTATTTCAAGCTGAAAATTAGTTGTGTACACAGAAAAAAATGAGTCTAACAGTCAGGTTAGTTGCTGTTTATTAAGGTCAATCTATCAGCCCCAGTGCTGACACACCAAGCATTTTGCTATCAAACATTCACAGACTGGAATACTTTATCTGTTTTTCTTTGAAGTACTCCATCACCTTGGCTAAATTTAAACAGTGCTTTAATCAGCTCTTTAATGAATGCCATTCTTAATGATTCCAGTTTTATTTTAATGTTGTCTGCTACTGCTTTTTTTAGATGGAGGTGAAGGGGAGGCTGGAAAGATTGGAGCACTTAGAGGCAACTGTCTTGAAAAAATCCTTTGTGTTTTTACTACTTCTTTCCTGTGAAATATGGGTTTAATACAAATGTAATGGTCCCATTGTCTCTGATTAAGGATGTTTGCCATTTTAAAATGAAGAGACTGAATTAATATTAAGAAGAAAATGTATGACCTTTCTTGTAAAAGAAAGCTTTGCTCTCATATATAAGCACGGTGTATGCATTTTGTTCTTAATTCATTATGTTAATTCTATAATCACAGATGTCATTTATCAGTGAGAGATGGACATGCAACTGTATTGAAAATCTCAAGGCCTCAGAGTGTTACATGCATGATACAAAATCAAAACTTTAATACAAAAAACCTTCTGGTAATGAAGTTTAAACCCCATAAAAATCACATTTTCTAAAGATGGACAGATAATACGCAAGGTCACAACCAAAACCAAGTATATATTGAAAAGGTATAGACAAATCAAGATGTTGATCAATACTATTTTTCTTCTTGGAGGTACTGTATCTTCCAACTTCAGCAGTCTTAAAAGTGTACACTCTGTTAGCTTTTCAGGATGTGAAATATCTGGCAGTAATAGTAATTACTGTCACATTACTCTAAATTCCATTATCGTCTGATGCATAAATATGAATACTGGGAGCAGTATTTTATAGCAGAATGACAGTGATTATGTTCAATATCATTAAGGCAATTATCGCCATTTTCATCTGCTTCATAAAATGTTAAGGCAGGGTTAAAGGTGAATTGCCAACTCTATGTTACCACATGCTTATTAATGACTATAATTAAGGAGACATCACAAAAGAGAAATATTCTCGCCGGCTTGAATTATACAACCATTGCAAAGTTACATTTTTTATCTTACATTACAATTTCATTTTCAAAGATTAGTAACATTCCACAATGTAACAGAGTACAAAGACGTGTTGCAAGTGAACATGTAGAATGCTGCCCATCTCTACATGTACTGTACCTCATTATTTGAGCACATACACATTATCTGCTTACATTAAATGCACCATTTTATTGACTTCTGTTTTTTTTTGACTGAGAAAATTGTAACAGGGTGCAAAGCACAAATGAATAGAGGCAGACATTCTGTAATTCTGAGTGCCAGCTCTTAATCATAGTTTCAAAGGTTCACAAAACATTACCAACAGACCACAGTTAAGTTCAAGGTTCTGCTAGAAGGCCACTTTCAATATCCACATATGCAAAAATATACCAGACAGGGTTTACACAGATTTCATAAAATGTACAAAGTAGATAGGCCTGTCTCAAAGATGTTTTTACTGGGAGTGAGGGTACTGAATATTTTTCTTACATTTTACAATTGAAATTCTTAGAAATCCTTCAAAAATAGTTCATACACTTATGTGTTATCAGATACTACTACAGTATGTTGCTGCTAACAGCTACATCACAAGAGGTCCGTATGAATAATCTGGGTGCTACCCCTTGGACAATTTAGATGAAACCCAGGGAATCTGCTGTAATACAAAATGTCTGGACTATGATATTCAGGATGTACTGTATAGGAGAAAACTACACAGATACCTATTTCTAGGGTAAAACGTAGTCCTAAACAGGATATAAAAGCTATTTAAGCATAAAGTGTCTTGCTATTCTATAACTCACGTCACAACTTGGGATTCTTTCTGCAAAACCTGCAGAATGTAGAAGCAATAAACTGTGGCTGTTCAGTGGAACCATAAATACATCAAGGTGCGTTCTCTTCTATTAGCCATTATTCATGCATGACATCCACAAAATATCTCACCTGAGCAATGCAGGTTAGACTTCCAAGATATATGGTAGGAATATTTCATATTTGAAGCTATTTACTTTATCATTTATTTTCATTTTTCCTGATGTGGGTCATTTGACAGTTTGGAGTAGTTTCAGATCTCTTCAAAACAAACACTCATACATTACAATGGCAGGACTATTTCAAACTGATGGATAGAGAACTATTTTTTCCTGCTAAGCCTGCCCATGGAAATGGCTTTATAATAAAATATTACTTTTTGAAATTACTATTTTGAAGTATACATTAAACATTTTCATTTTGAGATTGATAACATAGAAAACATCCTATTTTTTGTAAAGATTTAGGATAGAAATATGAAATTCATATCACATGCTGAAAATAACACCTTAATATTTTTCATCACTTCAGAAAAACCCACACTGAGTAGTCAATCACTCTGCTTATAAATTATATATTCTTTGGAAATATCCAGGAAGGTCTATTAAAAATGTAAAGACCTCCAGTGTCACAATTAAATATATTACTAGCAAATGTATGTACATTTTTCCTGAGTCTCTCCCTACTTACAGTACTTAACTTTTCTCTTTACTTTGAATTCCAGATTTAGTTTTAAGCTGAAAAGATTTCTTTTCTCTTGCTAATAAATGATCTTCTCTTAAAAGGTTCACATGGTGAAAACTAAGAAGTTACTTTTAAAAAAACATTCTCACAGAAATGTCATCAAACTCAAAGGTCTGTTGAATTTGATTCGATGTAGCAGAAGTAAGTTGTAGTGTTTAGGATGTAATTTTAAATGCCAATATGTCCTTTCTTTTAGCTTGGAGCTTCGAGGTCATTCACTAGTATATTGCATTACTTCCCCCTGATGAGGTACTGCAGAAATTTTTTTTTAGAATGGCTATTTTAACACTTAATGTCTTTTCCTTCAATGCTTATTAACAAATGGAGAAAGGCACACCCCCAAACACACACAGACAAAAAAATGAAGCACACTGCATTTCTGGTACAGAAAACGCATGCTGCAGATGTGTTTGGTTATTAAATGAGGAAATGTATGAATTGGTAATAGATGGGATTATGTTTTATTTTTTTATTTCAGCTTCAATATTCTTTATTCAAGATTCTATAGGATGAGTGTAATGCATAAAGTTAATAAGGTTTATACAAGAAGAACCTTGTTGAGGTACTTTGAGGAATAAACAGGTGGAGCTACTGCATCTTTCCATTTCTTGATACCAGGAACACAGAGTCTGATCGTCAAGCACATGTTATGGCTTTTAAAGGACAGGCCTTCAATATCTCTCCTGACTCAAATCAACAGAAGAAGCTACGTGGAGACCTGCTCTTGTTTGCATTTCCCTAAATTTGTTCATTTCTAAATGACTTGATACCTTACTCTGCAGTGCATTATTCATATGTTTCTAGAACTCCTACACTGAATGCATAGAGTGGTCACACTAGCTGCCCAAGGAATAAGGTTATTTTAGAATTATTACCCCTGCATGCATCATGAAACCATAAATAAAAATATTAGTGTTCTTTAATCAGAAACAAAATGCCTCATCGGAAGTGTTCAAAGCTCACCTCTGAACAGTATGTTTACAGAGAAGGAAAATAAGGATTATCACGAGTCTGAATATTGTACTTATCCCTGGAGTCAAAGTCAATGGATAATAAGACTTGCTATGGCTGTAATCCCTGAACTGCTTAGGCTCTATATTATCTCTCCTCCTCTAGTAATACGAAACTCTTCATATTAATGAAAGACAAATCAAAATAGAGATTGAAAAGTCAAAGGTTCTTTTTCCTATTGAAGATATGCTGCAGAGAGTGGTGGTGACGTCTTCTAAAAGTAAAATATAAACAATTTTAAAAATCTTTTTATGTAAAAAAAACGTTTGGCAAACAATAATGTCTCCAGGGCTGTCTTCATGGGTAGCTTGGTATCTATGCAAACATATAGTATTTCTACTTGAGCTTTAAAATATTTGGAAAGTGGTGATTGCTAGGTGATTCATGAATCAAAAATCTAACTCCTGGTATTACATTAACCACTCCCCACATATTAATAAGTACCTAGAAGCAGTGGTAGTGGCACCTTTTCAACCAACACTAGTAGAGAAATCGTCTCTGTACAAAAAAGAGAGCATCACCATCCCCATAAGAGTTTGTGTTTTAAGAGGAATGGTTGTTGAGTTATGCAG